AAATTCCTCAGTCCCCAATGTGCAATGATATAAGTAAAAAGTTTCTGAATTTGAATCAATCTGATTCATTAGTTCTAGTTCCACTTCAGATTCATGAGTCCTCTTGACTGAAAAAGCAACACATAGGGCAACCCCCATCCAGTTCCTATCATCCTTCAAATCTTGAGATAGCTGGAGTTCGATGTAATTCCCTTTAACTATATGGTTGAACCATTCTGGAATAATACCTTCAAGATTACAAACAGCCTGTATGGGACGTGACCTATAATCTAATAACTGTGAACATAAAAGAAAAGATGATTATCAGTTATGAAAAGCACAGAGGCTCAGTGATTTTTTTTATATCTTTGTGCGTGTGTGCGCGAATCAGAGAGAGAGAGAGAGAGAAAGAGAGAGAGAGAGACTTCAAAGTCTTTTCGAAGAATTTCAGTTGGCATTTGAAAATGATCAATCAGACTCTGTTCTTCACGCTCATCTGATATGAGGAGACTGAAGTCAGCACTTCCCAGGACAGATGATGATGGAGTCCACAGATTTTTATAATTCAAGGTGGAAAGTTCTTGATTCTGGGAAGAATTGAAGCAATTGAAAGTAGTTGTTCCTGAGACAGGTGAAGCCCATATTTTGAACTCATTTGGGCAGTCTATTAATGATGCGCAATCCTGGGCACTCACATGTTGAAGACTTGATGGAAGTTCCTTAGGCATCAATTGAAGCCTACCACAATTGCTCCCGTCCAGATGTTTAAGCTTTGAGAGTTGAGAGAAGCTTTGAGGTAGCTGAACAAACTCATTACCACTTAAATTTAATATTTCTAAGGAGTATAAGCTTGCAAGACCATTAAGAAGTGCTCCCTCTATCAAATTGCAGTCACTTAAGTTTAGATTTTTCAAAGAACTTAAACCTGAGAATAAAGTAGGCACATTATTAGGCAAGCAATAAATTTATGGGAACATACATGAATGATCCCTTCCACCCCACCACCAAAAATTAAAGGCTAATGTACATACCCGCAATACAACCGATGCGAAACCAAAACAGATCCTGATAGTCATTTCTTGTACATTAAGCTATTATGAAATAAAAGACTGCCAAATATAATACATTTACATTTGTTTAAATTTCTTTCAATAAAATAAGTTTAAAATACATAATTGGAAAGCATAGCTCTGCATCTGCTTCTAGTTTATAACATATATTTAATAATATAAACATGCATACGATTAATATTAATGATCTGACCTTTTCTCCCTCCCATAGTTGTTCAATGCGGCTCGAATACAAGTTGAGTTCAACAAGCTTATCTGATTCAAAGTCTGATGGCAAAGAATTTAAAGGACACTCATGCCATTCCAGAAATTGTAACTCATTAGAAAGATATTTGATGTTTCCATGAAAGTTCCCATTCCAAATCTTGAGCAATCTTAAATTGTCCATCTTTGAGAAGGCATTCACATTTAAGTTCACCTCTTTTTTATTTTTTGGTGCAAGAACCTCCTCTTTTTTTGGAAATTTGAGGAATATGCTTTCTATTGCGCTGGTTCCCTAATAAAGAAGAACCAAGAATAAGTTGCTGCACAAGTTATAGCAAAATACAAAGGAGATTTAATAAATACATTTTAACAATCTTAGAGTCTATGTGTGTACTCATTTGACTTCTTACCTTATTATTTGCAAGTACAGGGATGATATCCTTGGAAAGCCACAACCTGCTACGTTCTCCGGGCCTCTCACGACATTCTCGACGAACAATTTCCCAACCCAATTCTTGTATCAAATCATGCATCCACAAATTTCTTCCAAATAGAGTTACTAGAGATTTTTCCACGAGAACGTCTATATCAATTTCCGGACGGTAGCCACAACTAGTTTCTAATATTCTTATTACACGATCTTTGTTCTCACCCTTAAAGAAGCAGGCAATGTCCAAAAAAACTTTTTTTCTGTTTCTTATGATAATCCATCAAAACTCACTTTGAGGACATCAACGATTTTTTTCTCAGGATTTTCTTTTAGTCTATCCAATGCACTTGACCATGCGCTTTGTGGCCTATTACAAAGGAATGAACCCAAAACTTTAATAGCTAATGGAAGGCCCTTAGCATATGTTAAAAAGTCCTTGGATAGCTTGAGAAAACTTTCCCCAACCTGATGTTTTTGAAAGGACTTCCAACTAAAGAGCTGAAGAGCTTCATCATTAGTTAACAGCTTAACCTGATATATTTTGTCCGCATATCTGCATAGCACATGTTCATCTGTTGATGTTATGATGATTCTACTCCCTGGACCAAACCAAGTCCGATCACATAGTGCTTCCACTTGCTCAACCTCGTCCACATCATCAACAATAATAAGAGCCTTTTTATTACATAGTCTATGCCCTATTACATCTTCCATATCAATATTTTGTATCTTTACATTGCTTTTCAGCAAGTCTGAAAGAAGCTGCTCTTGTAAATGTTCTAGACCTTGCTTTTCAGTTGCCTCTCTAACATTGGCTAGATAGCTGTAACCTTCAAAACGAGCACGTATTCTTTTAGCAACTACTCGTGCAAGAGTTGTCTTGCCAATTCCTTTCATCCCCCAAATCCCTATGATACGAACATCAAGCAACCCTATCTCTAAGAAAGAAAGCAGTTCTTCTATATGAGAATCCATTGCAACTAAATCCTTGGATTCACTTAAAATTGTTTGGTTTAATCTAGTGAAACTCATTCCAACAATATCTTCAACAACTTCCGATTCAGGTCTGCAAATAAATAAATGAAACATTTATGTAGAAGGTAAAGCAAAACAGTTATATATATAAGGGAAAATTAAAAATGGATCATAGGTTTTATCTTTTTATTAGTTTGAGTACAACTACTAGTATTTAATTACAAGAACTATTTCTTTCCATGGTTATAGAACTTTTCTAATAAAGGTAGCTATTAGATAACTTTGGTCCAAGGAAGTCATGAGCTCAGATGGTTAATGAGGGTTGCTCCACAGGATTTGAGGCAATGCTTTCCCTGGTTGATTTATTATTAAATGCCTTCTGGAGATGAGAAATAGAAAGCTTGACGGCCTACCGACAATTGAGGGAAATCATAAATGTTTCGTGGAATCTCAAGTCCAAAAGTTGGGAGGCTAAGATAGTGATTGTCAAAGAGACCTTGTGACATTGGATCGATCAGCGAAAAAGGTTTGTTCTAGAACTATGAATGGCTGAGATTTGTGGTTGAACCCTAAAACACTCTTTTCATTATTATACAACCAAGCACTCTATCAACTTGCATTCTCAAATTTATCTCTCGTTAGGATCAATTTGGTGATCTCCATTGCTTGTTTGATTACACAATCTTAATCTTAGGCTTGCCATCTTTAAGTTTACTTAAAGTCTCAGTTCTTCTTTGACATCTCAAGTTGTTTACAATTGACTTTCATTGATCAAGTCCTTTATATCATTCCAGGAATAACAAAAGGCTTGGGAAGTTTAATTTGTTCTCTATACTTCTGTTGCAATAGTTGATTTAGAAGTTAGACTTGTACGCATTCTTTACAGTCAAATAAATAAATAAAATTGGAGGTCAGAATACACATCCAATTTTTTTTATAATCAATTTTGGGAACAAGGGGGTGTGGGATGGTTCGATGACTTAGAACCTCTACCAACATTGAGGAGAGAAATACCACTAGAACAAGACCAAGTTTGTCCATACACAGTTAATTTTTGGTGTACTACATTTGCTCCCTAAACAAACTCATTTGGATCTCTGAATGCTTTTGATAACAAAAGATAGCTAGGTACTCAAGATACAATTATTTTTTAAAAATTGTCTTACATTAGGTAGCTGTGTATTAAAAAGTGAAAACAAAAAAGAAATTATACATCATCAAAGTACTTAGTACAACCACTAAATGAGTAATTAATAGTGAATAATATGTTTTCATTATAAAAAAAAAACCAAAGATCAAAACATGATCAATAATATGGCCATATATATGTTCACTTACCACTCACATATATGTACAATCCAGATTATTGTTTCTGAAATTCTGGTTGATCATATATCTGGTCATCGTGTGTAGTATAAAGAATTTCGTGCATGTGTTATTGATGTTTGTGTATGGAAGAGTCTGCAGTTATTATTATTTTATTTTTTTATTTTCAATTTATTTTTTAGAACAAGAAAAAGCAAAAAAGCTTTCAGGTACAAACAGGAAAAATTAATTAATAGAAGAATAGTTTACGTACCCATCTTTCAAATGCCATCCAGCAAGATTGGCTACCGCAATAAGTGCATCTCTCCAGCTTTGCACCTTCTCTTTCTTGTCTTTAAAGGTTTCTTCATGCTTCAAGAAGGCTTTTTCGAAACTACCAGTTTGTTTCCGTACCTCAGATGGATCCATGGGTGGAAGGTTACTGCTTTGTTTATGGCAGAAGGAAAAGTTTTAGACAATCTTGTTCATTCTCCTAGTTTCTATTTATTGTTTCCCAAAGTCAACTCTGATTGTATATCTTAGCTACCCCAATACTTGTAATATAAAAATTACCTCCTTGCAAGAAGAATAAATTCTGAGACATTTTGCCCTCCAATTTAGAAGACTAATATTCTGAGAAAGGAAATATCATCACCAAACATCTTTAGAAACTAGGAAAGTGCAGAATGTAATCATGCATTCTTTTTATCTTTTCATATGCAAATCACTCAAATGGAACGAGTCCAACAATCAATCTGTTTTTCTGGACTATGTTAATGTGAGCAGACAGTGAATCATTAATGAAACTGATCCAAATGAGGGGCAAACAGTTGACGAAACAAAAGCACAGGATAATGGTCCGGCCTCTGAAATCGAATCTACATTTGTTTTAAGCAATTTGGTAAGTATTTTAAATCAAGTATGTTATAAATTAATACCATATGGGAGCCAGAAAAAGACATGCTGATGCTTGTTTGATCAAGTCTTCACAACTTACATGATGACTTTTAATTTTTTAAAGCATGATCATGCTCATACATTAGATATTTAGTACTCTAATCAAACTCCCACGATATATTTATATTATTATTATTAGGTCTTGAAATTCAAACTAGTACAACCTCTCCTTCCCTTCGACTTTCCCAAATTCCAAAACCCAAAATCAAATTAGGCAAATAACAGCATCAACAATAGCTTCACTCAGAGAAAAGGGCAGATTCTAAAGTAGAAATGGGGAAAATACCATAAGAATTGTTTCGTGCACAAATGTAAATAAACAAAGAGATAGCTTAGCCTGGTTTGAGAAAACTCATACCTGAACTGAGAGTGACTGATAGGCTGAAAGAGCCCACCAGAGAAACAGAGAATGGTGAAGAAGTAGGATGCTTGAAGCCGAGGCCATAGAGGGAGAGTGGCAGCTGAAGTGGAAATCGTCTATCTAAATTCTGCTGCACCTTGGAGGATCCTCCCAGAAAACGCTTTGATTCACGTGACCCAAATAAATGATATTGCTTGCTTGTTTCAATCCAACGTGTTATTTCTTCTGCTCTATGTTTTATTTTCCGACGTGTCAGTACAATAAGCAATTGATTGAATAGCTATGTTTCCACAGGATCCAATATTTATTCAGTATTATCCTTTTTTTCAATGATGAAGCACAACGATTCAAACATAAAAAATTTAAAAATGGAGAACCAAAAAAGAGAGAGAATGTATCAAGAAAAAGAAAAGAAATGTTTTTTTCTTTCACATATATTAGAAAGAAAAGAAAGCGCGCGTCTCTTCAACAACTTTGGGATGCTCAAATAGGCTAGCCACATCATAAAAAGTCTCTTTAATAGCCTGGTCAAAGTTAGTCTTCAAAGCTAACATCTTTCTCTCTCTTCATGACTAGTAAGTTGATATTGGCTCTTTAAAACATTTAATTTTACTTTGGAAAAATAAAACCTACCTTGAAAGTGTTAAAAACATGCATTTTTTCTTTTCATATAATAAATAAATACATAGACATTTTTCACATGTTTTCATATGTTTCATTCTTTTCCATGATATTACATTAATTGAATTGAAGAGTCTGTTGGAGCAAAAATTATTCAAGTAGCAAATAAACCTTTTCAAATTGCCACATAGTTCAACAAACTTTAATTTGAAGAGTTTAATTTGCTACTACCATTGGAGATGGCCTTCTCCAACAAACTTCAATATGAAGAGTTTAATTTGCTACTACGATTAGTCATGAATCGGAGATGAATTAAGATAGGCTTGACATCTTGTTTGAATAGATTGAATAGAGGCTTGAGAGCTACTAAAAAGAGGCTTGGGTTAGAAATATGGGTGGAAGGCTGGGAGCTAGTGTCAAAATTGAAACAGTGAAATTTTCTGAACCCTTTCCTTCTATTGGGTGAGCGCGAGAGCGGAGAATAAAAGACAAGGAGGAGACTAATTAGTTTAATCATTTTTAAAGTATAAGTAATGGAGCAAACAAGCGATGAGGGCTAGCGTGGAAGAAAGAAAGAAGTCTTATCTAAAACACAGGCTCAATACCAATTTCTAGATTGAAGTCACAACTAGCAGTCTTTCATTCAATTTTTGAATGAAAGTTGCTAAATCCCTGGGTTTATGTAGTTGTAATAAGGGTCTACATTGGAAGAACCCTTGATATAAAACTGTGGTGGATAAGCTAGAATTTCTGCTATCTGTGCATATATATCTTGAGGGTCCTCGGGAGATTAGGGCCTTTGCAGAGGCCTGTGTTTTATAAAACACGCTTGAATATGGCATTTACGAATCTTAGTGGATAAGGAATTCAATGCAAATATTTATTCTCAAACTGAAGAATATTTTACAAGCAAATACTAATTCAAATCACATAAGGAAATATTATGTTCTTATAGCAGAGCTGATCCAGCCTTTACAACATCATCCCTTGTCTTCATTAGTTCGGTTCTACACTTGTCGACTTCGCCTTTCAAACCCTCAATTTTCTTCTTAAATGGCTCCAACTTCTTCTGAATATCCTTCATTGTGACATTTATTTGTTCCTCAGCAATTGCAAAGTCTGGTTGGCCCAAGAGTGAATCAATCTCATTGACAACCATATCAATGAGATGCTTAATGTTGCCCAACCCTTTACGGGTAGCCCTGGTGTTTTTATGCATTGCGTCAACTAGGTTCTCCTCAGCCTTTAAATGAGCTTGATATTGTGTAACAAAAGAGGCGGTCCATTGCTGTCCTGCAATTACCCCCCCAGCAGCAGCAGCCAGAGCTGTTGATATTGCTACTGTTGCTAAAACACCAGGAGAAGCTAAAATTGTGGTCGCCACCGTGCAGAGTAATATCGCTGCCCCACTAGCGATATATAACATGTTTACAACCTTCTTCCAAGTACCAGCAGTCTGCTGCTTCTTGGCAAGCTTCAATTTCTCGACTTTCAACTTCTCAAGCAATTGTTTATGCATATTGATCAAACGTTCAACCTTCTGGAGTAGGCTTTGGGCCGAATGGGGGTTATCGGTACCGGCCTTGAGATTCTTCAGTTTCTCAGCAATCTTCTTGTAGTGATCAGGAGTAAGTTTTTCCTGTTTATCAAAGTGTCCTCGAACCACAGTTTCAATAGACGAATGGCTTTTGTTAGCTGAAGTTACAAACTTGTCCAATTCAGATAATAAATCCAGCATCACTCCGCTGTTGTCTTCGAACTCATCCATAACGTTCTGAAATCTGCTGTTTTTCTTCTTCCTTCTCTGACTCTGGTTGCCCTTCCTCCCTTTCCTGCCCTCGCCTTCGATATCCCTTTGCAGTACCAAGATTAATTCCCCAGCCTTCTGGTTCCAGTCCCTCACATACAGCACGACATAGTTCAAATATTCAGTTGAAATAGCTCCACTACTGCTCAAGCTGTCGATGACTCGTATCGTTCTCTCTTTGAGTTCGGTGTCAAAGGATTGCCAGTCTTCATCATGCATAAGCCAGTCTGCATTGTTGCCGCAAATGCTTCCCATTGTTGCTAAAACAACGAGAAAACCCTAAGGCCTGGAGCGCCTCTAGATGTGTGGAGAATTAATCCTTAAAATATAAAAGGAGAAGGCTGTTATGACTTAGATACAAATTAGTTCAAATACTCCCCCCTAACTTCAGATAAATGATTTTGTTTTACCTAATATCCTCCAATTATATATGGGTAGACTTATCACATTTATATACCACATTGTATACCACCTCTCTAATAGAGGTGGAGTCCACCAATACAATAGGATTCATCTCTATTAGAGAGGTAGCACACAATGTGGTATATAAATACAATATATCTAGTATTTTTCATGATATATATGTATATTCTACGTATGGTAAAATGTATCCAATTAGTCCATTTAAAAAATTATAATATTTTGCTATCTTTTTTTATGGACAATAATATATCTACGTTAATTTTAATGTACCTACGATGCTTTTTTGAGTAATATTATCTACTACAATCTTAGATACAGTAAAAATAATAGGTAAATTATAATTTCCTAAAAATAATAGGTACAGTAACAATCTTAGATACAGTGAAAATAATAGGTAAATTATAATATCCATAAAAATAATAGGTACAGTAAAAAAAAAGGTAAATTATTATTCATGAAATTAATACCTATATTTATCCGACCCAGGAATTATGGATATGCTTATTTACAAGTTGTTCAACCTTTTTTTAGTGCTTATTCTTGAGAGAAAATGTATATTAATCTTGAAGTAAAATCTTAATCAATTATATGCAAATTGGAAATAAATATCACAAAATTAGTGAAAAACAAAAGTCAAAACATTAAAATAAAGCAGTAAATCAGAATAATAAATGGAGACATATTAAACATAAGACAACACATTAATTGGGTATTTTAGGCATCCGAATATATATTTTAGTACAAGCGATAGTGTAAACTAGAGGGGAGGGGGTTTCTCACACACACAGATGCCATGGGTGTTCGAACCTAAGACCTCTGGTTTACAAGTCAGTGCCCTTTTCCACTAAGCTAGACCTCGTTGACCGAAATATATTAAATCAGTATCCTAGTTTGGGTTTCTAAGGGAGAAGATACTAAAACTCAGATCTGTCTTGTTTGAAGAGTACACGATTGCAAACTGATATGTCATGATTAGTCCCTAATATAATAGACACCATTCCAAATATCAAATCCCAAGCTTGGAGCCATTGAACATGGCTTGGCTTAACTCAAATGGCTTGTATCTTAAAATGTATTTCTTTAATGGAAAATAGGGAAGGATTGACTAAATAAATGGTATCCAAAAAACAATAGCAACCCCAAACTAGGATACTGATTAAAAAATAGTGGCTGCATAGTCTCTGTTGGTTAATGTAGACAATTTATTATCTCAAAACTTAATATATATATATATATATATATATATATATAAAAGAGCACTTCCACCCCATTCCCTTTTGGCAAAAAGGGGGCTAGGCTCCAAAAACAACCTCCACCCAAGAAAAATTGCTATGGCAAGAAGTGGGCCATGAAACTGGCCAAGCCCAAAGGCAAGACTTGCCTGGGCTTCTGCTTGGGCAAATTGACGTTATGTTGACGTCAGTGTGATGTCAGAGACCAATTTAAATACCAAAAAAATTGAAAAAAAAGAAAAGAAAAATACCCAAAATTTCAGAATTTTTTTTTCTATAAATACCTAGCCATGTTCTTCACTTCCAACTCCAAAATCCATACAAATTCCTCTCCTTATATCCCATGGTTGCCACAACAATGAGTGGGAATGCATAAAAAAAATTTCTAAGGCAGTCACTATTCATGTGAATATTGTCTGCCCTTACTTGCCCTTGCCATTTGCCAGGGCACAAGGGGTGGAAATGTTTTAAGCGATAATCTAAACTACAAGAAGAGAATTATTGTGACAGCCGTTCATGACCTAATGATTCCCTCATTCCTAAATTTTCCGGAACGAAATTGGAATAGAATTTCATTCCAAATTTTTTTGGATTAGAATTGGAATTCATTGATTCCAATTCTCTCTGTTCGAAAATCAGCCCTAGTGACTGTACCACACAATAATTTCTCCTAGAATCATACCTCTTTGTGTCCTTAATCAAGTTCGAATGATACAAGAAACTTGGGTGAATCAATTTCATGACAATAAATTTTTTTTACAGAAAATAGCATCAATTATAAAATCGGTACAATTTATATTTCACTACGATACGATAGTAAAATTTGCTTCAAAAATATCACTTTGGGAATTCCAAGAATTTGTTTAATACTTTTGAAGCAATTCTTTCTTGTAATCTATTAAGATGTAAACTCGCCAACAGGGTCAAGTCTAGTGGGAAGGGGCCTTGATTTACAGACAAGAGGTCTCAAGTTTGAACCCCCATGGCATCATTTGTGTGTGTGTGAGAAATGCCCCTCTCCTTTAGTTTAGACTATCGCTTATACTAAAACAAGGAAAAAAATGTAAACTCAATTTGGAAGAGGAATCGTTAATTAAACCTATATATATATAGGTCTAGCTTATTTTTCTCTTTAGAAAGAACGATTTTTTTCCGGATTCATTTAAAAAAAGAAAGTGCATAAATTCAAGAAAAAAAAACGTGAATATGAAGAACAAAAAAACGTTAATATGAAGAGAAAAAAATTCATATTTGAATATAATTATATCGGATTAGGCCAATATCTCCAGTTAATAAGTCTAGTTTTTCTTTTCTCTTTTCTCTTTACAAAGAACGATTTTTCCGGATTCGTTTAACCAAATGAATCTGATGGCTTAGATAAAAAGAGAAAATAATATAAAATAATGTAAAAGCAACAGAAATTATACCTTTTGCTGCCTTAATCAACAGCTCCCCAACTGATCCACTGATCAAGCTTTGATCCTACTTTCTACGCCTGCTGTAGAACTATTTTAACAGCAAAAATATTGACTTAATGCCGTGGACTTGGCACCTTCTAGTCTTCTTGTGGGTGGTTGGAAAGTCATGCAAGACGTGTTTGACTGGCTTTTCAGGAAGATAACAAAACGAAAGGAACTGGAACTTTCGGAATTCTAGAAAATACAGCATAAAATGATTCAACACAAACATATATATATAATGGACAACTTATATATATATATATATATATATATATATATATATATATATATATATATATATATATATATATATATATATATATATATATATATATATATATATATATATATATATATATATATATATATATATATATATATATATATATATATATATATATATATATATATATATATATATATATATATATATATATATATATATATATATATATATATATATATATATATATATATATATATATATATATATATATATATATATATATATATATATATATATATATATATATATATATATATATATATATTTTAACTTTGAAGCGCCACATCCTTGTTATGCCCCTCTATCTCTCTCTCTCTTCTTTCTTCTTCCTCCTTATTAAGTGTCACAACTTCTTCTTCCTCCCTATTCTCTGTGACAACTTCTTCTTTTTATCTCTTTCTTCTTCTTCTTCTTCCTTCCTATCTCCCAGATCTATGTTTCTCTTTTTTGTTTATGTGTTGTCCAGGTTCTTTTAATGCTTTCAGAAAACTCTTCTCAAGGCAGGTGTTGGTGCTACCATGGTTCGATGGTGGTGGTTTTAGCCATTTAGAAAATAGCTTTTGTGTGTTTTTAGCTCAATTTTAACTAAAAAATAGGGAGCATAATTATAGATGCTCTAAATGCTGAAAGAAAAGTAAATAAGTTCTGGTGCATTCCTAGCATAAGTTGTTTTATTAACTAAGCTGGTTATAATTGTGTTGGAAATTCGGAGCATAACATTTTTGCAAAAACATTACAAGGTGTAAAACTGAAAACGACTTATATGCATTTTTGCATTTTCTGAAAACATGGGTATCAGCTCCCTTCTAATTCTTGAGGATTGAACCCCCCGACAGGGCCCGTCCTGAGTATTCTAAGGCCCAGGGCGAAATACTAAAATATGCTCTTTTATAAACATAACCATCCTTCTTTCTAAACTAAATAACGGTTTAAGATTGGATGTAGATAAATTATTTAGAAATTTAGTGAAATACTCATTCCTAGACATAAAACTATAAATATACCCTATACCATTCATTATATATAAACACACCCAAAATAAACCCAAAAATCAACAATTGTATATTTTTTAATTTAATTAATAAGATCAAATACCTTTATTACCCTTTTTAGCATTAAATTAGTTTTGGATCTCGTTTAGAATCTATAGAATGTAGAGAACATTAAAATTCAACAAAACCACTCCCTGAGGTCTGAAGCCTCAAGCCCCTCTCCTCCTTCAAACCCACATCTCTCCTCTGTTCTCTCCCTTCTTCCCTCTCTTTGCCTTCAAAGTAAACCAAACAGTCTCAGAGCCATGGACCAACACAAGACTGACGACAATCTCCGTTACGTCGGTGGCCTCACACGTGTTCTCGCCGCCGATGCCTCCATTTCTTTTCCAGGTTTGTTCCATCTGCTTCAATTCATTATTTTCCTTTTCATTTTTTCTTAATTTACTTGAATTTTGACTCGATTTCAGTTTCTTC